GGGGACTCAAAATCCTCGTATTACCGGTTCAAATCCGCTATTGACAATAAGGATAATTTGTAGGAAATGGCCGGTATAGCTCAGTTAGTATAGCAGGGGACTGAAAATCCTCCTATTACCGGTTCAAATCTGCTATTGAAAATAAATACGTCTAATGTGTCGGAAATGGCCGGGATAGCTCAGTTGGTAGAGCAGAGGACTGAAAATCCTCGTGTCACCAGTTCAAATCTGGTTCTTGGCACATCATGAATTTGTATGCGTATCTATTCTACAGATTCATTAATAAAATAGATTATGAAAAATACCGATACATCATGATGTCTGGAAATATACCCTTTAACTAAACTATATATATTTTTTACTCTATTTATAGATGAGTAAAATACACAAGTAAAGATAAAGAGGATACATATATAAATATGTAAAGGATGGATATAGATATGTAAAAGAAAAGAATTTTATTTTGTTTCCTCTTCTTTTTTATTTGTTCATACTCTGTCTCCTCACGTTCAATTAATACTTTATACATATTTGAAAGGTTCAAATAGTTCGTTATAAGACCCAAAAGTCTAGTCTAGGGGAGTTGAAAGGCGGGAATGGCCAAGATTCATCTCCGATACAGTACAAATAGAATCCGATTCTCTTTTCATGTATTTTGATTTTTCCTCTTTTCATATTAGATTTCTTCATTTCCCCCTACGTGACTTTCTAAAGCACATCTAAGTGATATGCGTGATACATAGTTCATAATGTAGAACTCATTTAGTTCATCCTATTAGCTCGGCTCATCCAGGGGACTATGAGAATCCCTTTCCTGAATTATTAGAAACCAAAACCAGTCTCACATTTTACCCAATCTTCGCTGTCTAGCGCGAGACGAGAAGAGGAGAGGGGAGAGGGAGTAAGGAATGAATAAGTAGCGAGACTGGAAAGGAGAGGGGAGAAGAAATCGTTCCTATTGGATTGGGTCGTGCGTGGCAGCTGGTAGAGATGAATAAAGGCGGGCCGCTTCAACGGGACCTATTCTCTCTCTTAATAGGCGGCAAGGCAGAATAGGAAAGGGGCCGAGTGATTAGTGCCTTTTTAGCCTCAATTCTTAGGGAGAAGAAAGAAGGCTGGGAATGAATGGGAAGACTGAATTAGTATCTGACTGCCGCCGAAAGGAATTTGTAGGAAATGCCACTACGCCTTCGGTATTGGCACTCAGTGGATGGAGCCTTACATTAAAGATTGGGTCTCGGATGGTATATGTTAACAACTACGTCAACCATCACATCCGAGTTTCACAAAGCAATCTTAGTGGTCAAGTATTAGTGAGTGGTTTGCGGAGAATCTTTCGACCGATGTTTACGGTGTAACTGTTCCTAGTAGTAGTAACTGTTCTGAATGTAACCGTTCCTTATGTACCTGGGCAGATATCTATACTATGCAGTGTTCAGTTCTTTCATTAAGGAAGTCAATCCTATCGAAGAATCAATGAGAGTTAACTGTCAGGAAATCCTCATTCTTCCTTCTTTCTCTTTCTCTTCGACTTCAAACACTCTTTCACTCGGGAAAGAGCGGGGGCGAAGCCGCTCGACTGTAAAGGAGAGGAGTGTTTGAAGGTTCGTTCCGGGTCAGGTTCCTTCCTGAAAATCCGATAGTTGGGAATACCGTAGCAAAACAATTTCGTCTGAGTTCTGCGCCGCCGCCTCAAATGAAAGGCGCAGGTTGATCTCTCTGGTTGAGGATGAATTTATTCAACTTGACACGTGGGAAGGGCTTACTCTCCTCGGCTTGGTCTCGCTCCCGCGAGCCGGGCTGATAGAGATGAGGCCTTTTGGCGAAGCCAAGTCAATTTCGGGCCACCAAACCCTGCAATGATCAGGCCCTATGGAGTAAAGGGAAGCGTGTACGTTGTCACACTCCCTGCCTTCCAAAGGTGCCTAGAGGACGGGCCAGACGCAGCGACGACCCGGGGGGGAGAAGTTTCTCTCTTTGTCATTTTGTCATCAATGCTGGCCCAGTGCTCGTCCATGCCCAATCCCAATGGACAACCCTTCGATCCGACCCTGGGCACCCTTATTACAACTCCCGACCTCTGAGACTTTGGTCCATCTCACCCGAGACAAAATGGATCACTGCAAGTCGGCCACAATCCACTGTGTGCTGTTTCCGCCGAGTTAGTGGTTATGCTAGCAGAGCGAAGCAGCGTTCCATTCTTTTCGGGGGCATCCTTACGCATTGGCGGGGAGTGAAGTGCCACAATCCCATTCATCATTTTGGATCTACATATCAAGAAATGGAAGAGAAAGCATATCAAGCCCAATGTTGGGATTTCAGGCTTATATGTAGGACCTTGACTACTACGATCCGGATCTGTTAAGTCGAATAAATCTTCAGTCTTTTCTTTACTCGACGGGAAAGGTGAAGGAGAAAGAATCCATACAAAAATCAGGTAATATCCTTCCCCTTGTTTACAGTTCAATCTGGTTCATGAGTTTACTTACAAGAGAGTCCACCATGAAAGACGAATGAATAGGTTCAGGATCAAATCAAGATCAGTTAAAGAATTCCTCTGTCGTCTTTCCTTCCTGTCCTGTGCGAATTAATCTTTCTTCTTCTTTTACAGTTCAGGTAGAGTAACTCAATTCATTAGCAGCTTTACCTCCAGAAATAAGGGAAGGGAATACAGTATAAGGTTACGGTCAGGGAATATCGTCTAAGTAGCTCGACAGTAAAGGATTTCATTCATTATTTACTCGAGAGGAAGATCTTCTTCTTTCATTCATTTAGCTTTACAAGGAGCCAGCCAAGCCAGAGGAAAGCTCAAAAAAGAGAATGAGTTCCATCAGGGACAGTAAATTCATTAGCGGCTTGACCTTGTAAAAGAAGGAGAATTCATCAAGCAAGAGCTGTTCCTTCATAAATAGGTTCCAAAAAACACGAGAAAGCGAGACTTAATAAGTTTTTTCCTCACTCACCCTGCAAAAATGCAGTAACCGAAGGAAATGCCACTACGCCTTCGGCATTGGCACTCAGTGGATGGAGCCCGACAGGTTGATCCGTTCAGATTTATGTTAACAACTACGAAAACCATCAATCTGAACAGTATCCAATACCAACCCGCGATAGGAGCAAGGTAGTGGCCTATTCACAGTCTAACGTCAAACCTAAGTATCTCTACGCCGCGCTGCGGGCCTTATCCCCTAGAAGTTTCTACATCAAATAGATCAACACCTTGGATTAGGTCGGCATTTGCCTTAGCCCTCTCTCTTTGTAGAGCGCGAAGCCTAGGTTCCTTCTTTCCATTCATTCATTTCCCTATAAGTCAGGAAGGGATGGATCATTAATTTTCTTTTGCTGCAGTCTTGACTAACTACCCGGTATAGCTCAGTTAGTACAGCAGAGGACTGAAAATCCTCGTATTACCGGTTCAAATCTGCTATTGACAATGCATTAGGTAGGAGATGCAGGACCTGTCTTAACCGCAAGTGTATTCGCTATTCGATTCCATCCTCGATCCCACCCTATTAAATCAACTTCCCAAGGTTCTCTCTCTTTTTGACTTTTCAGTGAAAAAAGAAGAAGGAAGGAATGAATCGGTAGACTTTCTTTTCTATGTCGCCGTCTCATCAATGAGCGTAGATTGATAAAGATGGCTGGCTTTTGGGCTGGTCAATCAGTAAATTCATTAGCCTATTTACCTCGTTCAAGAAGAAATAGGAAGAAAAAGTGGTGAAGGAGAGAGAATGAATCTTCAGTCTTTGTTTTGTTTACTGTTCAATCTGGTTCAGGAAATAGCTCAGGGAATACCGGGGAAAGAGCTTTGCTGTGAAACCTTAAGAGGAGGTTCAGCAGTTTCCAGGAAAGAAAGAAAGTCAATTCATTAGCGGCTTTACATCAGCTCCTGTTGCAGCTGCTACTGCTGTTTTCTTGATCTACCCAATTGGTCAAGGAAGCTTTTCTGACGGTATGCCTCTAGGAATCTCAGGAGTAAAGAGCTGTTCCTGAATACAAGGGGTTCCGGGAGAGGAGTGAAAGAAGCAAACTGGAGTTAAGGAGAACGAATTTCATATGCTTTGGTTACTCTTCAATCAGTCAAAGGTGAAGGAGAATGACTAAAAGGAGTTAAAGCAAGCAAGAAAGAGGAGCCCGAGCAAGCCGTTACTTCTTAGCACCTAAATCCTATCTATTAGTGACTCAAAATGTAGATATACTTCTACTTAAACACAAAGGTCCAGCTAAAGACTTAGTAAGCGGTGAGTGGTATCAATCAAAATACAATGAACCCAACCAGAGTGTGATTCTTCTCCAAACAGGAACCACCGATTTACAAATCTCATTAACCACTGAATTTAGTGAGCGGCGCCAAATCTTTCTATGGATTGCTTCTTTCGCCTCTTTCGCCGTCAAAGTGCCTATGGTACCAGTTCATATTTGGTTACCCGAAGCTCATGTGGAGGCACCTACGGCGGCCGGCGTTCAGTCTTTCTTTACTTGATGAATAAGGATCAGATCAAGAAATAGAGGAAAAGGTTCTTCAATTCAAATAGCTTTACCTCCTCAGGGCAGGGAATCCAGTATAAGGAGCGAAAGCAGCTCGGCTCGACCAAGAGGTTCCGGGCACTAGTCTCCGCCTCAACCGATCTCCGACAACTCAACCTCGACTCCTGAATGGTGGCTTAAGGAAGCAAGGAGCAGAGCTTTACAAGCGGCATTGCCCTTCTTCACTCACGCGATATTGCTGGATCGGGCTTTCGGTTTTACAGTCATCTAGGATAGAATTGATTAATTAATGGGCAGTTGGCTGAGAAGAAGGGAGTAAGTAGGTTGATTGAGTAAGCAAAAGGAGACTCAGCAAGAATGATCCTTCTCTCCTTCCCCTTGGCTTCGGCCCTTTCCTATTAATGTCATTATCCTGAACCTACACCTGACGAAAAGAGAGAGCTGCATTCTGCTTTCTTTACAGTTCTAGAATGAGAGTGCCGGAACCTCACTCCTGTCGGGCTTATGTTCTTCATGTAGCATTCAGACCGAATGACTCTATGAAATTACGTCGATACTTCCACATATTACGGGTAACGTAGGAGACATCTCTATTTTTCCCCTCGGGAATCCTTAGAATTACCACTGCTTAGCTTTCAATTTGCCTCTGACCATCAAATGAAATGTGAATAACCCGTCCTCCTCTCTTTGAAACAAGGGACGCTTCTGGTTCTGTCGGTGCTTGAAACAATTTAGTCTTCTCCATATTACTATATCTCTAGAGTCAATAATTTTATATGAGGAACTACTGAACTCAATCACTTGCGACCCTCTCCTTTGTCTTCGCTGCTTCGCCTGTTCGGGAGAGTCAATTCCTTGCAGCTCATGAACCTGTCGATTGAACAGCTTCGCTCATTCACTACTTCACGAACCAGATGGAACTCCTACACCTTATACGATATTCCCTGGTTCGAATCCCTCTCCATCCGGGAAGTCATAAGTTCTCTCTTCCCTTATCGAGAGACTAAGAACGAATGAATCGGATCGACTCGACTGAGATGATAGATGGAATGCTTAGCTTAGGCAGGCAGCCCTCGTAGCTCGATTGCTAAACAGGCGGTTTTCCGGGGGGAGTGGGCCTAGGAGGTCTCCAACGAAAAATCAATGTGTAAATTAATATGATGCAATAGTACGGTGCTTTTCCCTCTAAGCTGGAACACTGAGGCTTCTGTTTTCAGGTCCTGAATCTCAAATCGATCTTTGCTACATGCTGCTTAAGACCTAGGGGCAGGAAAGAGTCTATTCCCACTAATATTCTTATTATAAACAATAATTAATTTATTAAAAATTAATTTAATATATAAATCTATTAAATAGATTCTAAATAATTAGAAAGACAAAATAAAAAAAGAAAAAATAATAAATAAACTATGTTGTGTAACTTTTTTCCAAAAATGAACGGCTCTTTGAATCGCTGCACGGTTACACTCTGCAAGAACTCCGAATCATTCTCCTCATCAGAAATGATCCGCTTGCCCCGAAATGACCTAGCCCAATAGGTAACAATGAATTCGGCCTTTCGATACAATCAAATGGAAAGAAAGCCCCAAGCCGCGGAGGAGGAGAATATGCTTTCCCTTGTCTTTGAAAAGAGCTACTGAACTTGCCAGTCGAGTCAATGAATGAAAGAAATCCTTTACGGGAAAGAAAAGAGAATGAATTGATGGAAGAAAAGAAAATGAAAGAGTAAACTGTCAGACTCAACCTCTCGCTCCTTTACAGTCTTTTTTGAATCTGTTCCTTCCTTCCAACACCCAGCAAGCAAGGAGTGAAAGCCCTACTTAAGGAGACTTTTGATTTCCATGCTACCCTTCTTCGAGTCCAAAGCCATTTGAATTTGAAAGCAATCAAAACAAGAAGAACCACCGGACCCATTATTGACCCTGTGACTAGGGTAGAGCTAGTTGGAGAGACATTACCTAGCCTCTGTCCGCATCAGTGGTTGGCCCGGAAATAAGGGAAGGTCATAAAGGTGTTCAGGTTCATGAGTTCAGGTCGTAAACTCTTTCGGCTTTGTTTACAGTGAGTTCAAGAATAACGAACAAACAAGAACTGCACAAGGAGTTA